CGCCGAATCGTCTCCGCCCCCCCCCCCCCCCCCCCCCCCCCCCTCCTCCGCCTCCTCCTTCTCCGGCCCCCTTGCTCCCGTCGCCGGCGACGCGAGACCCCCCGCCTCCCTTGCTCCGCTTCGTTTTCGCCGAATTGTCCCCGTCGCCCCCCCCGCCGCCTCCCCCCCTCTTGTGACCCAGCTTCAAGCCCTCCGTAGGTTGCGCTTGGCCGGCATCGTTTGCCGACGGCGACGACCCACGCCAAGCAGTCGCCATTGTGCCGACGACCTCGGTCATTATCTTCAGTCCGGAGGCAAGAAAGGACTGCTGCGTGGTCTCCGTCACCGCCTTCAGCACGTCCTCCTTGAAAGACTTCAGGAAATCTTCCGGCAAGGCCTGCGCTGGGGCGGTCGGCGGCGGCGGCTGGACTAGGCGGCGGCAATGTTGGTCTGCGCGGCGCCGATGTATTTGATGAACGACTCCTCCAACCCCTTCCTCGCCTCGCCCACCTCAGCCGTCACGTGCTCGGTCAATGTCTTCACCGCGGTCGCGCGTGCGACCACTGCTTGTCCCTTGGGGTCGTCAAGATCCAGCAGCATCTGCCTCGCTAGCTTGGCGAAGGACTTGGCCGATTGAATTGCGCTGTCCATGTTGTCGATGAGGCCCTCGGTGATTGTGGTCACCATGGTCAACGTGGCCTCTTTGAGGCGCTCCTCCGATTTCCGGTCGGTGTCGGCGACCTGGGCGGTCAAACCCTTCACCTTCTCGAGGAGCCCAGCTAATGCCGCCGCCAAGCTGTCGACCCGCCCCGTCTGCTCACCGAGCCGCCGTTCAAGGCGTGCATTGTCTGCACGCAATCGCCTGTTCTCCGCTCTCAGCTGATCGACGACGTCCAGCCGCGCCTGCCGCCCAGCCGTGGTGGAGCCGGGATGATCGCTCGCCGCCTTCTTCCTCCTAGACCGCTCCCCCCCGGCCTTCTCCGCGGTGGCATCGGTATGCACATCCACGCCCCTCTGCTTCGAGAGCGCGGCGTTATCCCCTTCACCGACCTCGACCATGCCACCACCTCCGTGAGCCGCCTCCACGCCGACCTTGCTGAGATCCGCTGTCGCACCCTTCCCCTCCCCTTCGTCGTTCTCGACATCCGCCGATCTCCCACCCGTTTCCTCCGCTCCTCCAACAACGTACCCCTCCGCCATTTCCACGTCCTCCACCTCTACCAACTGCTCCTCCTGGTGCTGCCTCTCGTGCTCCTGCATCTCCTGCTCCTGCTCCTGCTCCTCCTCCGACTCCGACTCCGACCCCGACCCCGACCCCGACCCCGACCTCGACCCCGACGACTCCTCCGAGCTCCCCTCACCCTCACGTTCCTCCTCGCGATCCTTGACCCCATCATCATTCCCGTGAACAACCTTAGTCCCGGTCACCCCCTTTCCTGCGGCCGCATCGGCCTCGTCGACGCCAACTCCCGACTTGCCACGCGCATCAGCGACGTTCGGGGCGACCCCTACTACTACGGATGCAGAATGGACTTCCTCGCCGTCGTCGTCAGAGGCGTTGGCAGCAACAACGATTTTCCCCGACCGTATGAGCGGGACTTGCTTCTTGATGAGGGCTACCATCTCGTTCCGCGGCGCCTTCAACCCCGAGACAGTGGGCTTGTCCATCCTAGTGGCAATGCGACGGAGGTCGCCGGTCAGGAGATGGAACCGCCTCACAACCCAGATCAACGCGCTCATTGCTAGCAGGCCGGAGCCCGCGTCCGAGTCCCGGACGGTATCGGGAACTTTTTGCATACAACAGTGCAGAGCGCAAGGATTAGGGCGGCGTAGATGTGACACCGTATGACGGCAAATCGTCCGGAACTCACATCTCGAAAGGGTTCGTCGCAGTCGGCGAGCCTCGCCTGCACCTCGTCTTCGGACGGCTTCGCCCACTCCCATTTCCTACCCTCGCGCCGCAGCTCGGCCAGAAAGCGGTCCGGAAAAACCTGCAAAAGCACGGCAAGGACGGTTGGTTAGCACGGTGCACGCTCCGTGTCGACAATGTATGCGATGTCGACTAAACTATCGAGCTCACTTCAGTACGCGGATCGCCTTGTTGCGGTGCCACTCCTTCACTATCTGCGGGTCGGTGTGCCGGATCGAGGTCTTGACCTCCTGCCCCGAGGCATTGAACAAATCGCCGGGGCACAGGATGAGAACGACGCTGCAATGTGCTCCCGGAAGCGGTGCGATGCTGCACAGACAAGGCACGTCGATGGCGCTCAGAACAAATCACCGACACAGGTTGCAGCACACAACAGGACCTCGAACCTGCTCACCTTGATATCAGTGGGATAACCGCCACGTCGGCGTCGAAAACTGTTGCAAAGCATGTGTGGCCGATCGAGATCGTACTGCTCCCAGGGACGGAGAAAGAATGTTGCATCCGCGTGACTTGCGGTGTGTCGGAGTCGGAAGATTACGACGTGCTGTTGGGCATGGACCTGTTGTACCGAGTGGGCGCCACCATTTGTACCTGGCAAGAGAAAGTGCTGTACCGAGTACACTATTGGGATCCGGCCAGCCCGGTCGGCACCTTGTCGGTGAAGTTCGTCAGGCAAGAGCCGCGTGAGGCCTACGGGGCGCGACCTGCTGACTTGAGCCCTGTGCTGGATGAGTGGAGTTGGGAGAAATATGCAGAGGAGTAAGAACGCCGCATCGAAAGGAGACAACAGGGGAGAGAGCCGCCGCCCCTGAAGGAGAGGATCTCCAGGCTATGGACACTCGAGGGGTTGGTGTGTGTGATGGAGCTCTACGGAGGCAACGGTACCGGGTTGGCGGCAGTGCTAAAGGCGGGATGCAGAGTGCGGAATAGGCCCGTCGACGACGACATCTCCATGAGACACTCACTTGAGACCGAGTCCCAAGCAACGGGCGTTAAACTCTAGCATAGGGTTTGTCAGAACGGCGTAGTCGTGCTCTTCAAACTTGGCCGTGTGTCCTCTACTGATGTCTAGATGCAGGGGGAAATCTAGCGAGGTCGGCGCCGCTTCGGCGGCTTTTTGGCCGGCCGCCAAGGCGGGAGAGCGAGGATGCTATGCTACAAGCTAAGGGAAGAAACGGTGGGAGTATGGAAGGCGCAGAGCTTGGAGAAAAAATGAAAGAGAAACGAGAACGCGAAAATGAGGGGCCAGTCCTCCTCCACTCAGGCCCAGTTGAGCGTCGCCCAGGGGGCCGTGATGCCTAGCTTGGCACGGCTCATGCACAAGTGGCGTGGCACAAGTGCACCCTTGCCGCCAAGCCAACAGGTCGATGTCACGTCCCCTGGCCTCGGTCGGCCAGGGGACGCAACTTCGCATGCGCGCGGTGCGACGTTTCGGCACCACGTGTCGATTTCGCAGTGGGTCGCCAAAACCGTGCGCCGTGGGGCGAACGACCCAGTTTTTGCTCGAATTTCGGCGGGTACGAAATGTTGCATGCATACGATGCGAAATGACGGGCGAGAACGTGGCGTCACCGCAACGGGTCGCGAAATAGTCGAGCGACCCGAGGGGAGCCCCCGATTTTCGCATAGACCTCGCCTGCCCGTACGGGCAGGCCGCGATGGGTTACTAGGACCTCGCGGGCACGAGGGAGGGGTGGGCTGCCTTCACGGCAGGGTTACTTTCCCTTGCCCGAGGTCTCGCCAACTCGCCGCCCCCACCCGGTAACGTGGGTCGCTGTTCAATTTCGAGGGGGGGTTGCGGGGCGGCGGTCGTGCGCTCAGCCCAGCCCTAGGCCAGGCTGGCGGGCCCGCACGCGCGTCACTTGCCCGCCTTGTCACACCCCTGTCCGTCGACCCCCCTCATAGACCCTGGCAATTCGGGTCCGTCGACCGAATTCCGCTGGGATCTTCAGCATAATAGAGCTCAGCGGACGAAAATTGCCGCCCATTTTCGCGGTTCAGAACGGACAACCCCCCTCCTCGGCGTTGACGACCCCGCGACGACCTCCGCATGGAAAGCCCAGGCTATCTGGTTGGGCCCGGTGCTGGTGAGCCCTCTAGATGGTGGACGACCTGTCGACCTAGGGTTCCGCTGAGACAATCCCGAGAAGGACGTCTCAACCGCGTGTCACAATCCCAGCTCGGCAAGTCGGGCCACGATGATCGCCACGCGGCCACAAAGGGACGCCTGAGATAGTCCCCTGGATGGCGGGGCCACCGAGGTCTGCCAGGTTGGACACGACGGGCCAATGGAAGGTCGGGGTGGTTCGCGTGGGAGATTTTCGCGCGGGAACATGGCAAGGTCGGTGCATACCACACGGAATTCATCCAACGGTTGCCCACATGCGCAAGGCGAAATCCGGCCGTCCACTATCTATGGCTATGTGCAGTGGACACTGAGGCTGCGGGAATGTCGGCGTCGACCAGAAGAGCATCATCGTGGTGCCACTCGGCAGTGTCTCCCACCCTCGAGCTACCGCGCTGCACCTTATTCGGGACCACGCCACGTGCCGCATGAAAGAGCCAGCGTGTAGCAGCCACGAAAAGAGCATGATGGGCGAAGCGCTTCAAGCAAGCAGCCTTGCACGACTGGTCGCACGTCGGACACGGCGCCGCCGCACGAGCGTACATGCATGGCGGCGTCCTGCACTCGGGTTTGCGTGGAGCGCCAAGTGGTTCAGTGTTGCTCACGACCATACCCATCCGTGGTCCCCGTAATGGTCGCTCATTCTGCCTGCCATTCTGTGTGCGTTCCATCCGTAAGCTGGCACTTAGCTTTTTTTTTACCATTGACTTGACGGCTGGCACTTTGATTTTTTCTGGACGCGTAACGTCGGCGTCGTCAGAGTAGGCAGACGTGGTCGCCGACGTCTCGTAGGATTGTCTGCTGTGCCGACCTGCCTGAAACCGCCGACATAGAATACGCATGTAGTAGTTTATCGACCTCACCACGCCGACTTCCCATCGCCAGACCCTAGGTCGCCGTATCATGGCCAGAGGACAGCCTTGATCGACACCGCTGCAAACCGACCCACCGCCCACCGATGTCGACATGACGGACGTTCCGAACCCCGCTAGCCAGGGTGAGGATGTCCGCCCGGTAGATCGTACACCGACCAGTAACCCCTCGTCGACTTTGCCGCTGCTTTACGATCTCGACGCCCTGGCCCAGATCCTGCAGGGAGAGTTCACCAAGGACGTTCCGCCCGCGCCCATAGGGGAGTTCACGAAACCACGCAAAACGTCAACGCCGACGGATGCAGGGGAGGCCGGGCCGTCGTCTGTGCCGGACGGATCGGGCGACCAGGATGAGGAAGATTATTCATCGACGAGCGACGAGGACGAAAAAGACGACCCGCGGCCCCGACGTGGTGCAGGTCCACGCACATTGGAAGAAAATCTCAGGGGGGAACGTGCGTTCATAGAGGAACTGTTGGACGAGGACGAGCTTGAGGATCTGTTGAACACGTCGGTCCTTCGAGAAATGTGGAAGGCGGCCGACTTCGTAGAGGAAGATATGGTGTACGCGTGCGTCGACGTGCTCGTGATGGAGGCAATGCGCCACCTGAAAACCATAGAGGCCAAGAGCACGCTCAAGTCCTACACCTCATGGATATACGACTACAAAAGGTGGGCGGCGAAGATGCTTAAAAAAAAAGGCGACAAACTGCCGACAGCAGAACAAACGAGGCACGTCGACAAGATAGGGCACTGGACACACAACAACAAGAGCAAGGATTGGGACAACGAGAAGGTGGTCAAGCGGAAGCACATATGGCTGCACGGCCCCGGGGTCACTATTACACGGCTGCGCGCCTACATCAAGTTCATGAGGCGGGAGTACAAGATCGACGCCGAAACAAACGCGCCAGTGCAAGCCTACACGGTACACATGATCCTCGGCCGCATCAAGGCCTGCCAGATGGCGGCGAGGGTGGAGGCGACGCTCTACAAGGAGAAGGAGTTGGGCATCATGCGGGAAATCTTGGTGGTCCGGTTGGAGGTGCGGGTCATGGTCCGCACGAAAAATCAGAGGGACATCAAGTAAGTTGGCATGCATCGCTGTGTTATGTCGCCATCGATTTGTGTTCCTCACCCTAATATTCATATCCCTATATTGTTATGTCGACAGTCATTGCGCCGACCGTCGACGCGGCACCATCGGCAACACATACACCGCCGAACAGTTCCGCCAGATCATGACGAGGGTGCTGCCGGCTTGGGCGGCGTCGGCATGGAGCCCGCATTTCACCACACCTTCGTAGACGCTGTGGAGGTTTCTTCTCGTCAAGGTGCTCACGCTGCTCTCCCATCACAGCCTCATGCGCGGTGCAAGCATCCGCGAGATAACGCTCCCCGACATCTTCCTGTACTGACTGGCGAGCACCTCGTCGGTGAACCCGGATAACCAGCCGGTCGTCATGGTGGTCGCCGCGTGGAACTTGAAGACGTCGAAGGATGCGCGTCTTCAACAGAGCTACGCGGCGCGGCACCTCGAAGCGGAGTTGTGCGCCGTCGGCGAGACCGGGCTGTGGTTACACTTCGTCCTCGACCAGATCGGCCAGTTTCACGGCATCGACCTCATTCCGCAGGTCAACACCAGCACACGGGAGCTCTGGTACAAGAAGCACCTGTTCTTCGCCCGCAACGACCCCGAGCAGGGCGAACTCTTAGCTCCCAGCCACCAGCGATGGACGAGGCAGATGTGGAAGACGAGCGGGGTGTTCTGCAAGCGGAACGTCCATGCCGCTCGGGCATGCGGGGCGCAGGAGTTGGCCATCCACGGTACGCCTCGCGCCGAGATAGCCGAGCTGGGTCACTGGGCTCTTGACAAGATGACTCGAGCCTACATCACAGCCATTCCCATCGACGTGGTGATGAAGAATGTCAGAACATTATAGCTGATGCATGTTTGTAGGCTATAGTGGGGTAGCCCATATGGGGTACAGGTTCCTAGGGTTTGTCATTTGTACCAATTTCTGACTTAGTCATTTCATTTCCCTGTTTACCTATCTTCACATGGTATAGAGCGGGTCCCTCTTAAGGACCGATTTTTTAGGGCCCACCCACGATATTCTCTCTGCCCGGAGCGCCCTACTCTCCCCGAGGCGCGCTCCCCCCCCCCCCTTAGTGCATTTCCCGCTGCCTTTGTGGGCCTCCCGCGAGTCGCGCGCGAAATTTTTTTTTTTAGCGCGCGCGGCTCGGGCCCACGTCGCGCGGGCTTTACGGCCGCGCCGCGCCGCCCTCTCGGCCCGGCTGCGCCCCACCGCCCTCGAACCGGCCATGCGGCCGCTTCGTCGCGGCCGCGGGCCCTGTTTCTGACGGCCCCGCCGTCCCTTTTTTGACGGCCCGCCGCTGCATTCTGCCGGCCCCGCCGTTTCCTGTCACGGCCCCGCCGTCCCCTCTCCCGGCCCCGCCGCTGCACCTTCCCGGCCCGCCGCTGAGCCCTGACGGCCCGCCGCTGCACCTTTTGACGGCCCGCCGCTGCACCCTTTGACGGCCCGCCGCTGCACCCTGACGGCCCGCCGCTGCACCTGTTGACGGCCCGCCGCTGCACCCTGTCGGCCCGCCACTACACGTGTCCCGGCCCCACCGGCGCACCTCTGCTGGCCCCGCCACTGCACACCCAGCCCCGCCGTCCCCTGTCCCGGCCTGCCGCTGCACCTGTCCCGGCCCGCCGCTGCACCTTTTCCCGGCCCGCCACTGCACCTGTCCCGGCCCAGCCGGCCTCTGTCCAGGCCCCGCCACTGCACTGCGGCCGGACCGCCCAGCAGCAGCCGAGCCGCCCAGCAGCAGCCGAGCCGCCCAGCAGCAGCCGAGCCGCCCAGCAGCAGCCGAGCCGCCCGGTACCCGGGCCGCCCGAGCCGCCCGAGCCGCCCGAGCCGCCCGAGCCGCCCGAGCCGCCCGAGCAGCCCGAGCCGCCTGCTGCTGACCTACCCGACTCTCCCATCTCGGTGAGACTTTCAGCTGCTGCCATGGCCACCCCCAATGTTCTTACTTTTGATGCTGAGGGGAGGGCCATTGACTTTGCCGTCTGGATCGAGGACGTGCAGCTGTACTTACTGTGTGATGCGGTAGATGAGGTCTCTCTCTTTGACTTTGTCTCTGGCGCTGTCCCTGCCCCGCCTGCTGATGCTGACTCTGCCGTTCGCTCCAAGTGGGCGACCCGCGATGCTGCTGCACGTCTTGCTGTGCGTCGCCACCTCCCTTCCTCTGAGCGTGCCCACTTTAGTCAGTGCAAGACCGCTCAGGCCTTGTACGACGCTGTAGTTGCGCGCTACTCCTCCCCTTCCTCCGCTACCCTTAGCCGCCTCATGCTACCGTTTCTCTTCCCTGACCTCGCTTCCTTTCCCACTGTTGCTGACCTCGTTACCCACCTCCGCGCTAGTGACACCCGCTACCGCGCTGCCCTTCCTGCTGAGTTCCGCGCTGCGAACCCTCCTCCCATGTACATCACTCTCTACTTTCTCGTCACCCGTCTCCATGAGTCCCTTCGTGTCGTTAGGGACCAGTTTCTCTCTGTCTGTCCCACCACTCTCACTGTCGACCTCCTTGAGGAGTCCCTGCTAGCGGCTGAGAAGAGTATTGTCGCTGTAGGGGCCTCTCGGGGTGACCCTCGCACCCCCATCTTTGAGGGGTGTGGTCCTTCCCCCCTGCTGCCCTCTGTCGCCTCTGCCGCTGCGGCCGACCTCGCTGGTTTTGAGTCGGTCGGCGCGGCGTCTGCCCCCAGCGGCAGACGCCGCCCTGGCAAGGGCAAGGGGGGCAAGGGAGCGGGTGGAGCTAGAGGGGGCGGTGGAGGAGGCGGTGGGGGTGGAGGGGGGAGTGGGGGTGGCGGTGGGGGTGGTGGCGGGAGTGGAGGTAGTAGTGGCGGCGGTGGAGGCGGAGGTGGCGGCGGAGGTGGTAGCGGAGGAGGCGGTGGGAGCGGTGGGAGCGACGGTCCTGGTGGGGGAGGTGGCGGTGGAGGCGGGGCTGGCGGTGGAGGAGGGGGTCGGAGGGGCTCGTCCCAGCGGAGCAGCTCTGGGGGTGGCCAGCGCCAGCAGCAGCAGCAGCAGCAGCAGCCGCAGCAGCAGCCGCAGCAGCAGCAGCGCTCTCGCACCGTCCCCGGCCCTCAGCAGCTCCGTGAGTGGTACTTGCAGCGTCAGCGCGGTGGTGCGCTTGGTCCCTGCCCCTACGTTCTTCGCACTGGTGACCATGCAGGGGAGAGGTGTGGAGGCGCCCACACGGCCCGTCGCTGCTTTGGCCGCCTGACCGACGCCTGGCGTCAGCAGTTTCCGGAGGCCGCTGAGATCCCCCGCTGGGGAGAGCTGTCTAGGGCTGGTGTAGCTATTTATGATCTTGACTTTGATGCTATTCTCTCTGCTATGTATGCTGTGACTGGTAGTGATGAGGATGACTGTTACCGGTGTTTCCCGCCCGACCCGGGCATTGGTACTTCCGCGTCAGGTACTAGTGAGGCTGCTGCTCTAGGTGCCAGTGCGTCTGTGCTTTCAGGTACTGGTGAGTCCGCCCTCTCAGGTACTCTGTCGGCTTCGGCCTCTCACACCTTCACCCTTGACTCTGGAGCGTCTCGCTCCTTCTTTAGGGACCGCACCACTCTCACGCCGCTCAGTCGGCCTGTTGCGGTGTCTCTGGCGGACCCCTCTGGGGGGCCTGTCCTGTCTCGCTTCTCCACTGTCCTCCCGTGTCCGGCGGCCCCCTCTGGCACCCTGACTGGTCTCTACCTCCCCTCGTTCTCGACGAACTTGGTGAGTGGTGCTGACCTCCAGGATGCGGGTGTTCACCAGTTCACCCCTGCTCGTCAGCGGGTGACCCACTGTACGGAGGCGGATACAGGTCGCCACCTGGCTACGTTTACACGTCGGCCGGGGTCGAGCCTGTACACACTGACCACTGCTTCTCCTCCAGGTACTGCGTCTGGTAGGGTCCCTTCGTCTGGTCAGGTGTTTGCCGCAGCGTCCAGGTCTGGTCCTGAGTCTGCCCCCTGTTCGTGTCGTCGTCTGTCTCACGAGACCCTCCTCTGGCACCACCGCCTTGGCCACCCCTCTCTGCTTCGGCTCAGAGGCATGGCCTCGCGGGTCCTTGTGTCTGGTCTTCCCCGGTCCCTCCCTCCCCTTCCTCCGGGCCCTGGCCCTGCCTGTGTCCCCTGTGTCGAGGGGCGCCAGCGTGCTGCCCCTCACTCCTCCCAGTTTCCTCCGACAGAGGCCCCGTTGCAGACGCTTCACATGGACGTGTGGGGCCTAGCCCGCGTCCGTGGACAGGGTCAGGAGCGCTACTTCCTGCTGGTGGTTGACGACTACTCGCGTTACACCACAGTCTTCCCCTTGCGCAGCAAGGGTGAGGTCACTCAGGTGTTGATCGACTGGATCCGCGCAGCTCGTCTCCAGCTTCGGAGGAGCTTTGGCTCTGAATTCCCTGTTTTACGTCTGCACTCGGACAGAGGCGGAGAGTTCTCCTCTACCCTCCTGAGTGCCTACTGTCGTGTGCGAGGCATCCGTCAGACCTTCACGCTTCCGGACTCACCACAGCAGAATGGGATTGCTGAGCGCCGCATTGGCATGGTCATGGACGTCGCTCGTACGTCCATGATGCATGCGGCTGCTCCCCATTTTCTGTGGCCGTCTGCGGTCAGGTACGCTGCGCACCAGATCAACCTCCACCCCAGGGTCTCTCGACCGGAGACCTCCCCAGCCCTGCTGTGGACGGGGAAGGTTGGCGATGCGTCGGCGTTCCGGGTCTGGGGATCTCGGGCGTTTGTTCGCGACCTGTCTGCGGACAAGCTGTCCCCTCGTGCTTCTCCCTGCGTCTTCCTGGGGTTCCCCCCCGACGCCCCTGGGTGGCAGTTTTACCACCCCACCTCTCGACGTGTTCTGTCCTCCCAGGACGTCACGTTCGACGAGTCGGTACCCTACTACCGCCTCTTCCCCTACCGCACTCCGTCCCTCCCCCCGCCCCCGCTCTTCTTGGTACCAGGTCCCCCCCCGGTAGTCCCCCTCCCCCCTCAGGGTCCTGCCCCTTCAGGTGTGTCCCAGGTAGACGCGGTCGAGCCTGTCGAGGTCACTGGTGACTCTGGTGCTGCTGCGGGAGCTGAGCCTGGGGGTGCGGAGTCTCGGGGTGCTGAGCGTGGGGGTACTGTGCCTGGGGGTGCTGAGCCTGGGGGTGCTGAGCCTGGGGGTGCTGTGCCTGGGGGTGCTGAGCCTGGGAGTGCTGAGCCTGGGGGTGCTGAGCCTGGAGGTGCTGTGCCTAGGGGTGCTTCGTCTCGCCGGGAGCCACTCCCCCCACAGGAGCTGCGTGAGTGGTTTGCCAGGCGCTGGAGGCGTGCTGCTGGTGCTGGTGGTTCTTTGGCTGTGGAGGGTACTGCTGCCACGCGTCCTGGCGGTGCTCGTACTGTGGGTGCTGGAGCTACTGGGTGTGAGAGTTCTCCTGGAGCTGGTCCTGCTGAGGGTGTTGGCGCTGAGCCTGCGGTTGGCGGTCCGACTGACTGTGCTCCTGGTGCTGCTGCTGGAGGTTCTGGAGCTTCTGGTGGTTCTGCTGGAGGTGCTGCTGGAGTGGGTGCTCCGGACGGGGCTGCTGCTGCTGTTCCTTCTGTTTCTGGTGTCGCCGCGCGGCCCCGACCGTACTTCGTTCCGCTCCTGCAGCAGGTTCTTGGTCTTGCACCTCCTCCTGCTCCCTTAGAGGGTCCGCGGCCTGTTCACTCACAGCCACAGCTACAGCCTGTCTCCCCTTTGCCTGCTCCTTCTCCCTACACTGGTCCGACTGGAGGTCTTACTGAGCGTCGTGAGCCTGCGTCTCGTCCTGCCTCGCCAATTCGTACTGAGCGCGCTAGTGGTCGCGGGTCGCGTCGGCGTCCTCCTCCTGTCCCTGGCACGCACCGGATGTCACTGCGTCCGTCCACTGCTCCTCT